ACGGTCCCACATGTCAGTTTTGATCAGCATGACGTTTCAGTTCCTTTCTCATGAAGCATCCACACAAACTGACAACATGATCAAAAGTGATGACGCCCCTCCAGGGTTCGGTCCCGCCCCTCCATCCTCACACGGAACAGGAAGTGTGATATGTTTAGAGTTGAGTGTGAACTGCTGGCTCACAGTCATGTCTCTGTCGCCCCCCAGTGCCCACAGCTGGTATGACCCGGCTGGTCCGCTCCAGGACTCACTCTGCCTCCAGTGTGGGCTCCACAGACGGACTCCGGGCTCGTAATGCCAACAACTCACAGGCAGAGGGCGCTAACTCCAGCGGGCCTGAACTCACAGAAGCTCTGAGCATCCAGATGACTGCGTAGGATGTTTCCTGCTCTCTTCTTTCCCTCTCTCTCCTCCTCTGATGCTCGGTGCACTGGAACTTTCCAAACAGTTGTGTGGTGGCTGTAAGGAGACTTAACTCTACATGCTTCATTGTGTTTCTTTCCTCCAGTAGACTGTTACACATCTTTCTCTTCCTCCTTTGAATGCTTTGTAGTCTATTGTTTTTCTTTTCTTCTAAATGGTGGTGATAGATGTAGTGAAGTGTAAAGGTTCAGAATGACCCCCCCCCTCTCTCTTTTCTGTGTTGTCCTCATGCCTCCACACAATCTTTCATTGAAGAAGTTGTTGATTTAAAGAGGAACATGTGAAGTTGGAGAATATTCCCTGTCTTCAGCGTTACTGATCTTTTGATTCTTGGTTTTAGCATGCTAGCTGTTCAGTGGTCTCTTCTGGTGTGACTCCATGTTGATCGAACACATTTCACTGCAGAATGGACAAATGGTGCGTTCAGGTGCTGCTCAGGTGGTCTCAGTTTCTGAGTCATGTGATTTCAGTTCAGAAAGTCTAAACGCACAGACACACAGACTGTTACAGTTCAAAGTGTTCCCACCTGAGCGGGTGTTCATTTTACCACTCCTTATATTTGAGCACATTTGTCCCACACTACATGAAGGCAGTATGTCTGTTGGATACGCTGCATTCATGTAGTGTGGGACGAATATGCTCAAATAAAACTTTGAACAGAGACATTTCACTGATCTTCTTCATCAACTCCGTTTGTGTTTCAACATTCAGACTTTCTGAACTGAAATCACATGACTCAGAAACTGAGACCACCTGAGCAGCACCTGAACGCACCATTTGTCCATTCTGCAGTGAAAATGTCTTAGATCAGTTTCTTTTGATATTGTCGGGCAGGTGAAGAGAGACAGGAAGTGTGGGGAGGAGAGAGAGCTGCTGCAAAGCGTCCGTACATGGGTGGTGCAACAGAACCACTAGGCCCAGTGGTGAATGTTCTTCTTGGTCTGTTCTCACATCAGCTCAGACTGTCCTGGGGGGGGGTTAGGGTCATGACTTGATAAAGGAGCATCATGCAGGGTTAGTCTTCAGTCTGTAACAGAGATGTGTTTGTAAAAACTTCTTCTAGATGTTCTTCTCTGTATTTATTAACTGTTTGTTGTTTCATGACTTCTGATGTTGTTTAATAAAGATCGTTGGTTTGCCCTCAACGTTTGAAGAACTGTTTCACAAACATGAAGGAGGAAAGACGGAGTGAAAATGACTCTTTATTATTTCTATACAAAATGTGAACACACACGTCAAAACACACACTGCTCTGTTCTATCAGTCTGCTGCTGTGAGGAGGTAGCAGCTCCATCAGGGGGGGTGGTGTTGGGTTCAGCTGGCAACAGGGGGCGCTGTCTTGCTGCAGAGTCGAGCCAACAGACCGGCCATCTGCAGCAGAGAGTTCACACCTTCAGCCACCCTCATGTGAGTGTAGCCGATCTCCTGCAGGACACAAACAGGTGAGACGTCAGCTGACACAAACAGGTGAGACGTCAGCTGACACAAACAGGTGACACAAACAGGTGAGACGTCAGCTGACACAAACAGGTGAGACGTCAGCTGACACAAACAGGTGACACAAACAGGTGAGACGTCGGCTGACACCTTTACTGAGAGTTAATGAAGGGGAACGATTCCCTCCACGTCAAACTTTATTCACATGTTTTTAAGTTATTCTGTCAGGGTGTGAAGTGATAAACATCACAGACATTAGGGATGCAACAATACAGTCAGCCCACGGTTCAATATGTACCTCGGTTTTTTGGTCACGGTTCGGTTCTGATGGGCTGGGCCATTAAAATGTTTCCAGTGTTAAGTGTTTCAGGCAAATTTTACAGAACATCAAGGGATTTAGAACTATTTTTAAAAGATTTTAAAACTATTTATTTTACTTTGAAGCAAAAACAAATTCAGGTGCTCTCCTTTCAGCCTATTGCAAAGTCAGATTAGATTTGAACATTAAGTAAACTACAATTATCTCAATGAATGCCAACAAAAAAGTGCATTGGTGGCATACTGTCATACTTCTCTTTTAGCTCCTCTCTTATTCTTGTAATGTTCAGTATTGTAAATATTTGGAGTATTAACAGCAGCTCAAACGATTTAAGAACATTTCAAAAGACATCAAATGTCACACTGAAGGTTCAGACAGTTTTTGACCAGTTTAGAGTTTTTAATAAGAGCAGTGAGGGTGATGTGCAGACAGAGGAGCACTCAGCTGATGTTAACAGACAGCAGCCTGCCATGTAGTTCACATACTTCACTGGTTAACAAACTGTAGAGCACATGATCAATTCATCTTTTTGTTTCTTGTCCGTCCCCTTATATGCGTAATGGCACGTTCCCCAATTTAGAGAGAAATACAATGCGCAGAAACTAGTTAAACGCCAAACCGTTAAAACCGCAATTCACAAGTCAGTATTGAACCGTGGATGCCGTACCGAACGGTTCAATATTTTATTGAGAATTGTTGCATGCCTAACAGACACATTAGTGTTTAGTGTACGAGAGCAGGACCAATGTTCATCCTGGTTTTGTTAAAAGCAAACAGACAGCAAACAGTTTCTGATAAACATGCTGTTCATTGTATTCACAGAGAGACGGGAGAATAAACAAGTTTAAAAGTCACATTCTTTAAAATCCTCTTCCCCATGTTCCTCTAGTCTGTCTACAAACCCCCCAATGATGAGAAAAGTCCATCCTCTCCATCTTCTTCCTGCTCCACTTTTCAGAAAATGTGTGCTCAAACAGGCCGTTTGGCAGTAGCCCCTCCCCCAGGTGGGTGACACTCCCACAGCTAGGTGTTTGTTCTGCCCTCTGAGTGTGCCTTCTCACCGTATATCATACATATAGCGTCTATGTTTACAGAGCAGATGAACGTTTCTGATAAATGACCTTGAGAAGTGAAACGGCGTTTAGGGGCGGAGCTCTGGCTCACCTTGATGAACTCCAGTTTGAGGTACTCGGCCATCTGGTACGTCTTGCAGACCCTGAAGATGTTCCCGATGATGTCCTCTGGAGAGTAACCCAGCGCCCACAGCTGCTCAATCACCTTATAGGCCTTGTCAATGTCCCCGTCCACGCAGTGTCCCAGCATGCTTTTCACCAGCAGGGGGTGGGGCTCGTCGCACACTTTGAACACGTTCTCACTGTTGATGTAGCCGAAGCCCGAGTTTGTGGACTGCAGGTTGTTGAGCGCCTGGAAACAGGAAGCAGAAAGTGAGCTGAACAGCTGAGAGTGAGTGCTGACTCCGCCCCCTGCTGACTCCGCCCCCCCTCACCTGTCTCATGTCTCCCTGGGCGGTGAAGATGACGGCCTCCAGTCCATCATCAGACACGGACAGACTCTCCTTCTCCACCACCTCCTGCAGACGGGCCAGGATCTGCCCGTCTGTCAGCTTGGAGTAACGCAGCACGGCGCAGCGAGACTGGATCGGCTCGATGATTTTATCGGAGGCGTTACACGCCAGAGCGAAGCGAGTCGTCTTGGAGTAGATCTCCATGATCCTCCTGAGCGCCTGCTGAGCTCCATCAGTCATGCTGCAGGGAAGAGGTTCACACATATCTTAATTTCATGTGTCAGTCACTTTGACTAAAACGGGGGTTCAATGTAGAGCGCGGCGCCTGCACAAGGTGCATTGTGGGTAACTTGTTAAAATGAGATTCTTCTTCTTTAGCTGCTGAAATTAACTTTAAATAAATGTGATTCATCTGGTTTAAAACTCTTCTATTGCATCACCTCAGAAATAATCCCAGCTTTGAACCTTTCTTACTTTAAACAGGGAGTGACCTTTGACTTTTTATTCAAACTGAAGCTGTGTGTGAAATCACTCCCTATCCACTATATAGTGAACACGCCATTTTGTAGTGCAGTCCGAATTCTGAGTGAGCACGGTCATACCCTCTATATAGTCCACTCAATGTATCCCACAATGCATTTTGAAAAGTAGTGTATGAGCGATGGTCACAATGCGAGCAATATATACCATCATGCATTGCGGTTCAAAAGATTTTTACGAGTGGCGTTTGACTCGACTGCTCTCAGACGGACGAGAGGAGCGACCAGCATGAACACAGAAACTCATTAAAGTTCATATTCAGAGCGTTTTACTGAAATCTAAGATCGGTTTGAATAAAGACTTTAGTGATGTTAGTCCTAATGATGATGACAGAGAAACCAGAGTCTGTGAGCATAAATAAATTATGTCTCATTGTGTAAAATTCAATATTTCATAAGTGCTGTTGTTTATTGTTGTTATTGATCCTCAGCCGCTGCACAATTCAGTTGCACGACAACAATGGCGTCACTGTCAGCGGCCGGTGAGCGAGCGAGTAGTGTCCGAAATGTTTTTTTAATTTTGTTGAGTGAGTGCACGACATAGTCCACTGCATTAAATTCACTATATAGTGAATAGGGAGGAGGGAATGAGTGAGTGATTTCGGACACAGCCTGAGTCTACATGAGGGTCAGAACTCACTTCCTGTTGTCTCACCTGTCAGCTTCGTCCAAGATAATGATCTTGTGGCGTCCTTTGGGCAGTGTGACTTTCTGTTGAGCAAACATCTTGATCTTGTTTCTCACCACGTCAATTCCCCTGCAGAGGAAACAGAGAGAGCATCAAACCATGAAGAGAAGAAGAAGAGTTCTACTGGTTATAGATCAAACCATGAAGAGAAGAAGAAGAGTTCTACTGGTTATAGATCAAACCATGAAGAGAAGAAAGAGTTCTACTGGTTATAGATCAAACCATGAAGAGAAGAAGAAGAGTTCTACTGGTTATAGATCAAACCATGAAGAGAAGAAGAGTTCTACTGGTTATAGATCAAACCATGAAGAAGAAGAAGAAGAGTTCTACTGGTTATAGATCAAACCATGAAGAGAAGAAGAAGAGTTCTACTGGTTATAGATCAAACCATGAAGAGAAGAAGAGTTCTACTGGTTATAGATCAAACCATGAAGAGAAGAAGAGTTCTACTGGTTATAGATCAAACCATGAAGAGAAGAAGAGTTCTACTGGTTATAGATCAAACCATGAAGAGAAGAAGAAGAGTTCTACTGGTTATAGATAAAACTATGAAGAGAAGAAGAGTTCTACTGGTTATAGATCAAACCATGAAGAAGAAGAAGAGTTCTACTGGTTATAGATCAAACCATGAAGAGAAGAAGAGTTCTACTGGTTATAGATCAAACCATGAAGAGAAGAAGAAGAGTTCTACTGGTTATAGATCAAACCATGAAGAGAAGAAGAAGAGTTCTACTGGTTATAGATCAAACCATGAAGAGAAGAAGAGTTCTACTGGTTATAGATCAAACTTGAAGAAGAAGAAGAGTTCTACTGGTTATAGATCAAACATGAAGAGAAGAAGAGTTCTACTGGTTATAGATCAAACCATGAAGAGAAGAAGAGTTCTACTGGTTATAGATCAAACCATGAAGAAGAGAAGAAGAGTTCTACTGGTTATAGATCAAACCATGAAGAGAAGAAGAAGAGTTCTACTGGTTATAGATCAAACCATGAAGAGAGAAGAAGAGTTCTACTGGTTAGATCAAACCATGAAGAGAAGAAGAGTTCTACTGGTTATAGATCAAACCATGAAGAGAAGAAGAAGAGTTCTACTGGTTATAGATCAAACCATGAAGAAGAGAAGAAGAGTTCTACTGGTTATAGATCAAACCATGAAGAAGAGAAGAAGAGTTCTACTGGTTATAGATCAAACCATGAAGAGAAGAAGAAGAGTTCTACTGGTTATAGATCAAACCATGAAGAGAAGAAGAAGAGTTCTACTGGTTATAGATCAAACCATGAAGAGAGAAGAAGAGTTCTACTGGTTATAGATCAAACCATGAAGAGAGAAGAAGAGTTCTACTGGTTATAGATCAAACCATGAAGAGAAGAAGAGTTCTACTGGTTACAGATCAAACCATGAAGAGAAGAAGAGTTCTACTGGTTATAGATCAAACCATGAAGAAGAGAAGAAGAGTTCTACTGGTTATAGATCAAACCATGAAGAGAAGAAGAGTTCTACTGGTTATAGATCAAACCATGAAGAGAAGAAGAAGAGTTCTACTGGTTATAGATCAAACCATGAAGAGAAGAAGAAGAGTTCTACTGGTTATAGATCAAACCATGAAGAGAAGAAGAAGAGTTCTACTGGTTATAGATCAAACCATGAAGAAGAAGAAGAGTTCTACTGGTTATAGATCAAACCATGAAGAAGAGAAGAAGAGTTCTACTGGTTATAGATCAAACCATGAAGAGAGAAGAAGAGTTCTACTGGTTATAGATCAAACCATGAAGAGAAGAAGAAGAGTTCTACTGGTTATAGATCAAACCATGAAGAGAAGAAGAAGAGTTCTACTGGTTATAGATCAAACCATGAAGAGAAGAAGAGTTCTACTGGTTATAGATCAAACCATGAAGAGAAGAAGAAGAGTTCTACTGGTTATAGATCAAACCATGAAGAGAAGAAGAAGAGTTCTACTGGTTATAGATCAAACCATGAAGAAGAAGAAGAAGAGTTCTACTGGTTATAGATCAAACCATGAAGAAGAAGAAGAGTTCTACTGGTTATAGATCAAACCATGAAGAGAAGAAGAAGAGTTCTACTGGTTATAGATCAAACCATGAAGAGAAGAAGAAGAGTTCTACTGGTTATAGATCAAACCATGAAGAGAAGAAGAGTTCTACTGGTTATAGATCAAACCATGAAGAGAAGAAGAAGAGTTCTACTGGTTATAGATCAAACCATGAAGAGAAGAAGAGTTCTACTGGTTATAGATCAAACCATGAAGAGAGAAGAAGAGTTCTACTGGTTATAGATCAAACCATGAAGAGAAGAAGAAGAGTTCTACTGGTTATAGATCAAACCATGAAAGAGAAGAAGAGTTCTACTGGTTATAGATCAAACCATGAAGAGAAGAAGAGTTCTACTGGTTATAGATCAAACCATGAAGAAGAAGAAGAGTTCTACTGGTTATAGATCAAACCATGAAGAAGAGAGAAGAGTTCTACTGGTTATAGATCAAACCATGAAGAGAAAGAAGAGTTCTACTGGTTATAGATCAAACCATGAAGAGAAGAAGAGTTCTACTGGTTATAGATCAAACCATGAAGAGAAGAAGAGTTCTACTGGTTATAGATCAAACCATGAGAAGAAGAAGAGTTCTACTGGTTATAGATCAAACCATGAAGAGAAGAAGAGTTCTACTGGTTATAGATCAAACCATGAAGAGAAGAAGAGTTCTACTGGTTATAGATCAAACCATGAAGAGAAGAAGAGACTACTGGTTATAGATCAAAACGATGAAGAAGAAGAAGAGTTCTACTGGTTATAGATCAAACCATGAAGAGAAGAAGAAGAGTTCTACTGGTTATAGATCAAACGATGAAGAAAAGAAGAAGAGTTCTACTGGTTATAGATCAAACCATGAAGAGAAGAAGAAGAGTTCTACTGGTTATAGATCAAACGATGAAGAGAAGAAGAGTTCTACTGGTTATAGATCAAACCATGAAGAGAAGAAGAAGAGTTCTACTGGTTATAGATCAAACCATGAAGAGAAGAAGAAGAGTTCTACTGGTTATAGATCAAACTATGAAGAGAAGAAGAAGAGTTCTACTGGTTATAGATCAAACCATGAAGAGAAGAAGAAGAGTTCTACTGGTTATAGATCAAACCATGAAGAGAAGAAGAAGAGTTCTACTGGTTATAGATCAAACATGAAGAGAAGAAGAAGAGTTCTACTGGTTATAGATCAAACCATGAAGAGAAGAAGAAGAGTTCTACTGGTTATAGATCAAACCATGAAGAGAAGAAGAAGAGTTCTACTGGTTATAGATCAAACCATGAAGAGAAGAAGAAGAGTTCTACTGGTTATAGATCAAACCATGAAGAGAAGAAGAAGAGTTCTACTGGTTATAGATCAAACCATGAAGAGAGAAGAAGAGTTCTACTGGTTATAGATCAAACCATGAAGAAGAAGAAGAAGAAGAGTTCTACTGGTTATAGATCAAACCATGAAGAGAAGAAGAAGAGTTCTACTGGTTATAGATCAAACCATGAAGAGAAGAAGAGTTCTACTGGTTATAGATCAAACCATGAAGAGAAGAAGAGTTCTACTGGTTATAGATCAAACATGAAGAGAAGAAGAAGAGTTCTACTGGTTATAGATCAAACCATGAAGAGAAGAAGAAGAGTTCTACTGGTTATAGATAAAACTATGAAGAGAAGAAGAGTTCTACTGGTTATAGATCAAACATGAAGAGAAGAAGAAGAGTTCTACTGGTTATAGATCAAACCATGAAGAGAAGAAGAGTTCTACTGGTTATAGATCAAACCATGAAGAGAGAAGAAGAGTTCTACTGGTTATAGATCAAACATGAAGAGAAGAAGAGAAGAGTTCTACTGGTTATAGATCAAACCATGAAGAGAAGAAGAAGAGTTCTACTGGTTATAGATCAAACTATGAAGAAGAGAAGAAGAGTTCTACTGGTTATAGATCAAACATTAAAGAGAAGAAGAGTTCTACTGGTTATAGATCAAACCATGAAGAAGAGAAGAAGAGTTCTACTGGTTATAGATCAAACCATGAAGAAGAGAAGAAGAGTTCTACTGGTTATAGATCAAACCATGAAGAGAAGAAGAAGAGTTCTACTGGTTATAGATCAAACCATGAAGAGAAGAAGAGTTCTACTGGTTATAGATCAAACCATGAAGAGAAGAAGAAGAGTTCTACTGGTTATAGATCAAACCATGAAGAAGAAGAAGAAGAGTTCTACTGGTTATAGATCAAACCATGAAGAGAAGAAGAGTTCTACTGGTTATAGATCAAACCATGAAGAGAAGAAGAGTTCTACTGGTTATAGATCAAACCATGAAGAGAAGAAGAAGAGTTCTACTGGTTATAGATCAAACCATGAAGAGAAGAAGAGTTCTACTGGTTATAGATCAAACCATGAAGAGAAGAAGAAGAGTTCTACTGGTTATAGATCAAACCATGAAGAGAAGAAGAAGAGTTCTACTGGTTATAGATCAAACCATGAAGAAGAAGAAGAAGAGTTCTACTGGTTATAGATCAAACCATGAAGAAGAGAAGAAGAGTTCTACTGGTTATAGATCAAACCATGAAGAGAAGAAGAAGAGTTCTACTGGTTATAGATCAAACCATGAAGAAGAGAAGAAGAGTTCTACTGGTTACAGATCAAACCATGAAGAGAAGAAGAGTTCTACTGGTTATAGATCAAACCATGAAGAAGAGAAGAAGAGTTCTACTGGTTATAGATCAAACCATGAAGAGAAGAAGAGTTCTACTGGTTATAGATCAAACCATGAAGAGAAGAAGAAGAGTTCTACTGGTTATAGATCAAACCATGAAGAGAAGAAGAGTTCTACTGGTTATAGATCAAACCATGAAGAGAAGAAGAAGAGTTCTACTGGTTATAGATCAAACCATGAAGAGAAGAAGAAGAGTTCTACTGGTTATAGATCAAACCATGAAGAGAAGAAGAAGAGTTCTACTGGTTATAGATCAAACCATGAGAGAAGAAGAAGAGTTCTACTGGTTATAGATCAAACCATGAAGAGAAGAAGAGTTCTA